TCAAAATTAAATATAAGGACATAAGTGTCCAAGAAAATAGTATAAATCAAGAAAAATGACTTTATGGAATAAAACTATACATACATGGGACTAAATGAGTTAAAAAATTACTTCATGAACTTATTGAGTTAAAACACTTCTAAATGAAATTTATCAATAATTTTCCCATAAAAAATTGACAATGTAAATGATCTAGTCATTGTAAACACGGTCAACAATGATAATTGATAGCGTTAAGTTTAATTTGGATTATAAAAAACAAAAATTGATAATGATGGAAACAATTAAAAAATATATATATATATAGTATTAAAAATTAATGAGTTGAATTTTAATAAAAAAAATATTTTAAAAAATCAATGATAGAGGTGATCAATACCATCAATAGGCAACAATAATAAAAATCACCATGTGGTTGTAGAGATGCATAGAACATTATCAAGCGTCATGTCTAATTTGATAAATGAAAAATGAATTGACAATGGTGAAGGCAAAATGTTATCAAGTTGAATTTTGAAAATTATGCAAACATTGATAATGAAAATGATCTAGTGATTGTAAATAAACACGATCAACAGTGATAATTGATTACGTTAAGTTTAATTTTGATCTAGGTATTTATAATTTTTCAAACTACAAAGGGTAATCTATACTTTAAAACCTCAGGGGGTTTATTTGTGATTTACCGTATTTAATTTCCTCAGAAGGTGTCACATATTTGTTTAAGAGGAGTGATGGAAACCCCTCCAATCACCACCCCCAACACATGTGGCAGGTGGTGATTGCAGGACAAAGAAAACCAAAAAATACAAAAAAACCAACCAATGAGAGAGAGAGGAGGGGTCAAAGGGGGTGGGGAAAAAAAGTGATCTTAGACATTTTTGATAAAAAAAAGTGCTTATTTGGTGGAGTTTGGGGCTGAATCATCATTTGTACAGAATTGGTACCAGTTTGATTTGTTTATCCTCAACAAATGTAATATTTTTGGATGATAAACAAATCAAACGAAAAAAAATCTAAGTTTGACCCTTATAATAAATGTTTTTAATTTTTAATTTTATCAATTTAAATTATAATCTTTTAATTTATTTTTAATTTAAATTATTTATCTATTTTTATTATATATAACCGAAGGAAAATTAATATTTTAGCCCTTAAATTTAATAAAAATTATAGTTTTTTTTCCATAATTACACCTAATTTTTATTTACAATTCTGTTAATTTCTTCATAATTTAATTATTAATGGTGATAATCAACATTAATGAGTTGAATTTTAATAAAAAATATAAATAAAAAAAAATCAACGATTGAGGTGATCAATACCATCGATAGACAACAATAATAAAAATCATCATGTGGTTATAGAGATGCATAGAACATTTTCAAGCTTCATGTCAAATTTAATAAAAAATAAATAAAAATAATAAAATAAAATAAAAAATTGACAATGGTGAAGGCAAAATGTTATCGAGTTGAATTTTAAAAATTCTGCAAACATTGATAATGTAAATGATCTAGTCATTGTAAACACAGTCAACAATGATAATTGATAGCGTTAAGTTTAATTTGGATTATAAAAAACAAAAATTGATAATGATGGAAACAATTAAAAAATATATATATATATAGTATTAAAAATTAATGAGTTGAATTTTAATAAAAAAAATATTTTAAAAAATCAATGATAGAGGTGATCAATACCATCAATAGGCAACAATAATAAAAATCACCATGTGGTTGTAGAGATGCATAGAACATTATCAAGCGTCATGTCTAATTTGATAAATGAAAAATGAATTGACAATGGTGAAGGCAAAATGTTATCGAGTTGAATTTTAAAAATTCTGCAAACATTGATAATGTAAATGATCTAGTCATTGTAAACACAGTCAACAATGATAATTGATAGCGTTAAGTTTAATTTGGATTATAAAAAACAAAAATTGATAATGATGGAAACAATTAAAAAATATATATATATATAGTATTAAAAATTAATGAGTTGAATTTTAATAAAAAAAATATTTTAAAAAATCAATGATAGAGGTGATCAATACCATCAATAGGCAACAATAATAAAAATCACCATGTGGTTGTAGAGATGCATAGAACATTATCAAGCGTCATGTCTAATTTGATAAATGAAAAATGAATTGACAATGGTGAAGGCAAAATGTTATCAAGTTGAATTTTGAAAATTATGCAAACATTGATAATGAAAATGATCTAGTGATTGTAAATAAACACGATCAACAGTGATAATTGATTACGTTAAGTCTAATTTTGATCTAGGTATTTATAATTTTTCAAACTACAAAGGGTAATCTATACTTTAAAACCCCAGGGGTTTATTTGTGATTTACCGTATTTGATTTCATCAGAAGGTGTCACATATTTGTTTAAGAGGAGTGATGGAAACCCCTCCAATCACCACCGCCAACACATGTGACAGGTGGTGATTGCAGGATAAGGAAAACCAAAAAACACAAAAAAACCAACCAATGAGAGAGAGAGAGAGGGGGGTCAAAGGGGGCGGGGGAAAAGAAGGGGTCTTAGACATTTTTGATAAAAAAAAAGTGCTTATTTGGTGGAGTTTGGGGCTGAATCATCATTTGTACAGAATTGGTACCAGTTTGATTTGTTTATCATCAACAAATGTAATATTTTTGGATGATAAACAAATCAAACTAAAAAAAATCTAAGTTTGACCCTTATAATAAATGTTTTTAATTTTTAATTTTATCAATTTAAATTATAATCTTTTAATTTATTTTTAATTTAAATTATTTATCTATTTTTATTATATATAACCGAAGGAAAATTAATATTTTAGCCCTTAAATTTAATAAAAATTATAGTTTTTTTTCCATAATTACACCTAATTTTTATTTACAATTCTGTTAATTTCTTCATAATTTAATTATTAATGGTGATAATCAACATTAATGAGCTGAATTTTAATAAAAAATATAAAAAAATAAAAAAATCAACGATTGAGGTGATCAATACCATCGATAGACAACAATAATAAAAATCATCATGTGGTTATAGAGATGCATAGAACATTTTGAAGCTTCATGTCTAATTTAATAAAAAATAAATAAAAATAATAAAATAAAATAAAAAATTGACAATGGTGAAGGCAAAATGTTATCAAGTTGAATTTTAAAAATTATGCAAACATTGATAATGAAAATGATCTAGTGATTGTAAATAAACACGATCAACAGTGATAATTGATTGCGGTAAGTTTAATTTTGATAATTAAAAAAAAAAAATTGATAGTGATGGACACAATTAATATATATAATATTAAAAATTAATACATATAATTAAATGAATAATGTGGTTGGCAGCATACTACTAGTATAAATATTTTGTAAGACTCTGAATTTTCACTAACATAAACAACTTACATGCTTTGATCCATATCTAACCCCCAACCCCATAATAGAAATTTTGTAAGACTAGAATTTTCTCCAACATAAACAACTTTTACATGCTTGCATATCTACCCCAAACTCATCCCATAAAATAAAACCACAACCAAGTCAAGATGTTTCTCAGGTAATTAACAATTTATCATTTTCATTTGATGCGGGGGTTTACCAACTCACATGACTTTAGTTCACTGGTTTTTCATTCAGTCCAAATCCATTTTTTACCTGCTCCACAGCCAAGTCACACTTAATCTTTAACTAATACAAATCTAAACTAACCTCACAACATACCCCGTGTTTCTCTTCTCTCTTCTTTACCTTGTACCAGAAAAATAAATAAATAAATAAAATTCAAAAATCTCAAAGTCACAGCCATGGAAACCAGTAGTTCCACCATTAAACAGAAATGGAAGCTTTGTGCATTTGCTAGCATCATAGGCTGCTTCATCCTAATGCTCTGTCTTAACGAAAACCACAACAGTGTTAGACTCCTCGCTTTTCAAAACAAAAATACAACAAACATAATATCGTCCCTGGAACCATCAAGCTTCATTGAAAATGGGAAACCTATAAACGGAACTAAAAGCATAGGCCATTGCAATATCTTCGATGGGAGATGGGTTTACAAGCCAATTGACAGCCCACCACTATACGATGAATTTCAGTGTCCATTCATTGGTGATCAAGTAAGCTGCCAGAGAAATGGACGGCCAGATTTTGACTACGAGAATTGGAGTTGGGAAGCCAACGACTGTGAGATTCCTAGGTAAGCTTCTTTTTATTTTTTATAACTTGATTGACGTTCTTCTTCTTCTTGTGATTATATATACATGTAGTCAAACTTGAACTTGAACTTGAAGGTGATATGGATAGGTTGGTTTGATTGATAGGTTTGATGGGAAAGACTTGTTAGAGAGGCTTAGAGGGAAGAGGGTGATTGTAGTTGGAGACTCCCTCAACAGAAACCAATGGGAGTCTCTTGCTTGCCTCCTTTATTCTGTTATTCCATCCTCAAGAGCCCATATACATGTTCAAAATGGTCTCCACAAACTCTTTGTGGCAAAGGTGAAAAATCTGTTTCATATCCATACTTCTACTTTTGTTCCTTCCTTTTCTCGGTCTTCCATGCAATGAATGTCTACTTAGTCATAAACCTGTCTCTAGAATCTTTCCTTTCTTGTCCCATGTCTTAAAGAACCTCTCTATCACACACACACGAGTCTCTCTGTCTTTTCTAATTATTATGTGGGAAGGAGCATTACCTGCATTTGAAGCGGAAGTATTTCAAAAATACTATTGTATACGAGTATTAGGTACCTAGCCAGTAACGAGCATGTAAAATATGTATCTGGCACACGAAATACTCTGTGTGCATTTTTCATATACTTTGGGGCATAAATATAATTTTCAAAAAATATTGAGGTATTTTTATAATTATCAAAAACATAGAAAATAATACTTGGGGTTCTATTTTTCAAAAATATTTAATTACTTTTTACATTTGATTTTTAACTGTTATATGTCATGTACTTCTACAAATTATTAAAAACAAAAAAATGAGACAAGTTGTATCAGTACATTCGTAGCATACCCGTATTTGTATCCGCACCTATACTTCCTAAAGGATTGGCATAGAGGAGATTGGGACAGACATACTGACTCATTCTACATATAGGTTACAACGTTCAAAAAGACATTTTTTCTGATTTTTAATTACAGGACTATAACTGTTCTGTGGAATTCCATTGGAGCCCATTTCTGGTGCAACTAGACACAAGCCAAGCCAATGGCACTAAAGTTCTAAGGCTAGACAAACTTGTCACCTCGGCTGAGCGTTGGCGAGGTGCTGATATCATGGTATTTAACACCGGTCACTGGTGGGTGCACCGCGGCAAGTTTAGGGCGTAAGTCCGGCAAATTTAGTTCAAATAACAATTGAGTTTCATAAATTCTCAGTCATTTTGTATTTGACAAGTTTGTCCAATGGGGGAAAAAATTGCAGGTGGGACTTGTTTGGATACAGGGGAGAATTGGCCAAAGAGATGGATATAGAATCAGCAGTTGAGATGGGTATGAAAACTTGGGCTCAATGGATTGATGACAATGTCGACTCCACAAAAACAATTGTGTTTTTCAGGAGTATTTCTCCGGAACACAAAGGGAAGTATTGGTGTTACAATGTGACACTACCCATCATGGATGAGGAGTCCTATGCAGGAGATTCATTTCCAAAGCCAGTGATAGAGGTTGTTGAGAGGACAATCAGAGGAATGAAAACACCGGTAAAGTACTTGAACATCACGAAGCTGTCGGAATACAGGAGAGATGCACATCCGACGGTGTATGTGGCAAAAAAAGAGAAGCAACAACCGGTTGTCGATTGCAGCCACTGGTGCCTGCCTGGACTGCCAGATACATGGAACAGGCTATTGTATGCTCTTTTGGTCTTTAACACCTCTAGAGACACTGGTGCTGGTAGTTCCTCACATGGGCTGGTTTGAGCCCCTGTTACTGGATATCCAAGGAAACATAATCCAACAATTGAATTGCTTTGGACCATTTCTAGCATATGTTTGGATCTCATTTTTCCCTTGTTTTTTTTCCTCCACAATTTCTTCCTCAAATCCAAGATCCACACACACACACCTTAGTGGCCAGGCTGACTAATATAGCCGGAATGTGTAGAAGTAGCGATCTTATAAACCATTGACTCAAAGAGAAAATCATAATTAAGATTCTTCTCTAAACTCATTGATAATCTTATAAATCATTGACTCAAAAGAGAATATCATAATTAAGATTTTTCTCTAAACTCATTGGTTTACAAATAATTCACGAGAATAAAGGCTTGACAATGGTTGATTTTCAAAAATATCCAAGGTTAGAAAAATGAGCATAAATTTGAAATTATATTCAGTGTGTTTAGTTTTAATTTTTTAAATTCAGTTTTTTTAAAATTGAATTTTTTATTTTTCGTGTTTTTTTTATTTCTAGTAAATATTATTAAAATTTTAAGCATTTTTTTACTTTTTTAGATGCACCTTACTTAAATATATTTAAAAAGTAAAATATTTGTGAAAAAATATTTCAAAAAATTAATAAATACACAAAAATACGAAAAATATACTGAATTTTAATATTTTTTTTTGCATTTTTGATATTTAGTGAATTTTAAAAAAAAAATCACGAAATTGTACTTTTTAAGTATACTTACGTTATATGTGTCTAAAAATTTTTAAAAAAAATACTTAAAATATTTAAAAAATTCAATCAAAACAAAAAAAAATACGAAAAATAAGAAAATAAATTTTTTTAAAAAGTGTTTTTAGAAAATCCAAACCAAGCAAAGTGATTAATTTCCAAAACTAGTGTTTTCCTAAGGCTAACAACCATTATTTGTAATAAATCTAATACTTGTAGGACAAGAAACTACAAAAACAGGAAACCAGCTGTATCTACACAATTTAAGAAACATAATAATAATTCTACAATTCTATACTAAACTAGAAAATTCCTAATAAAATACTAAAACCAAAAAAAATAAAATAAAAATATAAAAATCATAAAATCTCGTTTACATCACAGGGTTCGCTCAACTTCAAACCAACATGCCAAGCCAGATATCTGACCCAAATGAAATTCTTAGCAACAATTTTCATCAAATACCCTGTTGTCAACAACTCATTAGAAGCATATGCAACTCTTAACTAGGATTCAGTGCTAGAAAATAAATGAATGAAATAAATGCTTGAAAATAAATAAATGAAATATATGCAGACAATCTTCAGGTTCAGCAATATTCATTAACCAACCTAGAAAATTTTCACTTTTAACGGCAACAAAAAGGAACCAATAAGAACAAAGACAATCTTAAATAAGAACAGGGAAATTCATACATCGAGAACAGAGCAGAAACAGTAACTTTGAATATGTTTGCATCTTATATGGTAAAGCGGCATGTAACAAGCCGTATTACATCCATGGGATTCAACATATTATAAATTGTTGATTAATTAAAACACTAAGAGGGCGGTTATTTTTCTATTTTACCCACTTCACTCTAATTGTTCTGAAGGATAAACTTAGATGCCCTTTTTCATATCCAGCATAGTACCTTATCCACTTGATCTCCGAGGAGTGGCCAATAGATACAGTCAAGTGGAATGTTTATTTACAAAGGCCTTCTCGAGCAGTGGTATCTAGAGAAGCTCCCACTCAGATTCACAAACGCCATGAGATGGTGGTTTCTTTGCATCTGCATCTGCATCCGTGGTATGTGTAAGCATCACAATCTCTGCACTTCCTTGATTTGAACCTACATCAATATCTCCATGTTGTACTGCAAGCTGTTTGTACTCCTGCTTTCTTGCTGATCTCTTTGAAGATAGAGCTTTCTGGATCTTTTTCTAAAAGGGGAAATTTGGTCAATGACAATGAAGAGAGAGAGATTGAAGAATGGATACTACTAAAAAGGAGCTGTATCCATATCATACCCGTGTTGGATACTCATACTCCTAGGATACTCGTAGATACATATCTAATATTTCATAAACGCATCCGATACTTAATGTTAATTTTAAAAAGTATTAATTACTTTTCGAACACTCTAGGTCTCATATCCAAACTACTATGAAATTAAAATTGTAATTATTTTTGCATAGTATTAGAGTATAATTGTTAGAATATATATAAGAATAGTTTTCAATATTTTCTTATTTCTTACCGAAGAAAAAAATAGTGAGATTAAAGTAATACTCTACTATTTTAGATTTTGTCAAATTAACTATCCACTGGAAAATATACAGTATATATCTAGTTAATGATTTCTCATTACTCTTTGAGCTCTAAAACTATCTAATTCCTAGATAATGAGTTCCCATTCTTTGAGCTCATGTATAAAATAATACTAAGACTTTATAAATAAAAAAATGGAAAAAATCAATGTATCATGACCATAATTACATCCTATTTTTTTAGATTTTGTCGTATTGTCATATTTGTATCCATGCTTCATATAAATAAATAAATATATATATATATATATAGAGAGAGAGAGAGAGAGAGTACCTTGTATGACCGAGGTTTATCTTTTGTGCAAGTGACATGAGAAAAGTTTTCTCTGTCCACCAATACACAAGTTTCTTCCAGCTTTGACTCCTCAACTTGTTCAATGGTTTCTATCTCTAGATCGACTATACAATCGTCATTCTCGATCACATCTATATTACAGTCACCTGATCTTCCTGTGGAGATTCATCAACATCAGTTGATAGAATTAAAAAAATTAACAATAGGTGACTTCAGAAAGAAGTGGCAATTAGTACCACAGATATTGTACATGGTATAAACATGAGTTAGTGCCCTATCCTATGAAGCACGGATACTCCGAAATGGCCCCCGTACGCATGTCGGATACGGATATGCGTCCGATACGGCGGGATACGTATCAAATACGGCAAAGAAGTATCCCAATTTTTTTTTAAATTTTTTGAATTTTGGATACATTTGGGATACGCGAGAATACTTCAGGGATACGCTTGGGATACTTTTGGGATACGGCAGGGCGAAAAAATAATTTTAAAAACTTATAATTGGGTCAAAATGTAAAATAACAAAAGTAATATAAAATAAAACAAAAAAAATCAATCAAACAGCAGGGAGGAGGAGGAGGAGGAGGAGGAGGAGGAGATCAAGGTGAGCCATCTCCCTCTCCCTCTCGCTCCCTCTTTCTGTCCCTCTCGCTCGATCTCACTCACTCTCTCTCTCTCTCTCTCTCGCTCGATCTCTCTGTCTCTCTCGCTCAATCTCACTCTCTCTGTTTCTCCCTCTCGCTCAATCTCACTCTTTTATTTTATTTTTTTCCTTTTTTTTGCAGGTAAGCTGAAAGGCAATCCTAATCCGAGGTATATTTACTCTATTCCAATCCTGTTAAATAGTAACCAGAAATTTACTTTTGAATTATTTTTTTCTTTACCTGTGTTACATCTTCTGCTCAATGTTAATTTATGTTTTCCCTTCAGTAACTTGTTACAGACTATCTCTTTAAAGATTTAAGAGATTTAATTGAATTGCTGAATTTAATTGAATTGAATTGTTGAAATTTAATTGAATTGCTGAATTTTTTTTTATGTTCATGTCAAAAGATAACTACATAAATGTTTTGTTTTATTTCTTTACCAAATTTATAATTTTTAGAAAATGAGTTCGAGTACGGGAAGTTTAGGTTCAACAAGTGGTACACCAATGGAAGAAGATGATCATGCTCCTCTTTGGTGTTATGTTACAAAACTGGAAAAAATGGGAGAAAGAGGTGGTAATACCAAGTTTAAATGCAATTACTGTCAAAATGAGTACAAGGGTTCATACTTTAGGATCAAAGCACATTTGTTAAAACTTTCTGGCAATGGAATTAAAGTGTGCCCCAAAGTGACTCCGCAACACCTTACTGAAATGCAAAGGAAAATTGAAGAAGCCGAGAAGAGGTCAAAGATAGCTATGCCTAAAAAAGTTCCTTTACCACCTTTCACTTGCCAATCTATTTCAACAGGTTCAGGGTCTTTAGATACTGGAGGATTTAAGATGGAAGGGTATGAGCCAAGAAAAAGAAAGGCTACTGGAACTTCTGCTCTAGAAAAGGCATTCAACCCTATTATTCGGGAACAATTGCATTCTGAGATTGCTCGCATATTTTATTCAGCAGGGTTACCTTTTCATTTATCAAGGAACCCATATTATGTTAGTTCTTTTCAATTTGCTGCCAACAATTCAATTCCTAGTTATGTACCACCTGGTTATAAATTGTTAAGGACTACATTGCTTCAAAAAGAAAGGGCTAATGTAGAGAGGTTGTTGGAGCCAACTAGAGCATCATGGAAGGAAAAGGGATTGAGTATTGTTTTAGATAGATGGACTGATTCTCAAAGACCCGTTATTAATTTTATGGGAGCATCATAAGCTGGGGCAGTGTTCTTGAAAGCTGTTAATTGTGAAGGTGAGCAAAAAGACAAGTTTTTATTTCCAACTTAATTAGTCAAGCAATTGAAGAAGTTGGACATCAAAATGTCATTCAAGTCATTACAGATAATGCTCCCAAGTGTAGTGCAGCTGGTTTACTTATTGAAAGTAAGTACTCGAGTATCTTTTGGACAACATGTGTAGTTCACACATTGAATCTTGCTCTTAAGAATATTTGTGCTCCAAAGGAGACAGGGGGTACTGCTTTTGCTTATGATGAATGTCATTGAATCACACTTTGTGTTGATGATGTGATGTTTATCAAAAACTTCATCATGAACCATTCCATGCGGCTAGCTATTTTCGATGAATTCGTACCCTTGAAGTTGGTTGCTATTGCGGACACACGTTTTGCATCTACCATTGTCATTCTCAAAAGGTTTAAACTTATAAAGCGTGGCCTCCAATCAATGGTTATTAGTGACCAGTGGGTTTCTTACAAAGAAGATAATGTTGGGAAAGCAGCATCTGTGAAGGAAAAATTATTGAATGATGTGTGGTGGGATAAGATTGATTACATTTTGTCTTTTACATTGCCTATCTATGAGATGCTTAGGTTTTGTGACACTGACAAACCATGTCTTCACTTAGTCTATGAAATGTGGGACACCATGGTTGAAAAGGTGAAGGCAAGCATCTTTAGGTATGAAGGGAAGCTAGATGATAAGGAATCAATCTTTTATTTCATTGTGCACAATACACTAGTTGAGAGGTGGGCCAAAAGTAACTCTCCTCTTCATTGCCTTGCACATTCTTTGAATTCGAGGTAATAACTTAATTCATACTCTTACTAATTAGATTTCTTTGTTCACATTTGTCTTTTAATATGAATAATATAATTTAATTTTGAAACTTTCTAATGTTGTAATCTAGGTATTATAGTTCAACGCGGCTTAATGAAAATCCGAATCGTGTCCCTCCTCATAGGGATGAAGAAATTTCAAGTATGAGAAACAAGTGCTTCAAGAAATACTTTCTAAATTTAAAAGAGAGAAGGGTTGTAAATGTGGAAATGTGGAATATGCCAAGTTTTCAAGAGGTTTGGATATGTTTAGAGATTTTGACTCAAAGATTGATATAGGAGTATTGAATCCACTTATTTGGTGGTTTACACATGGGTCTCATGCTCCTATGCTTCAATCTTTACCATTAAAATTGCTTGGCCAGCCATGTTCCTCATCATGCTGTGAAAGGAATTGGAGCACCTACTCTTTTATTCACTCAATGAAAAGAAACAAAATGACACCACAACGTGCTGAAGATTTTGTTTTTGTGCACAACAATCTTCGTCTCCTATCAAGGAGAAGTCGACATTACATTGAAGGAGAAACTAAGTCATAGGATGTTGGTGAAGATGCTTTTGATTCATTGGAGGGTGCAGGCTTACTCAAAATTGCACGTCTTTCTCTTGATGAACCAGATATAGAAGCTGTTATATTCACTGATGAAGGGGAACAAGTTGAAGCTATTGACCTTGAAGACTCTTAGCTTTATAGGAATCTTTCTTTTTTATCAAGTTGTCTTTTGCTTTAGGTTTTATTTTTATGCATACTATCAATGTTTTAAAAGGCTCTAGGCGCACCGAGGCGATAAAGTCTCCTATAGCCTAAGCGCGAGGCGCGAGGCGTAAGGCGAAGCACGCGCCTCACCAAAGCGAAGCTCAAGTGGTAAAAGAAAAGCAAAATTATAAAATAGGTAAATTTTTCAACATAACAAATATATATATAATATTTAAAAAATCATAACCATTTTTAATAATCTCTAAACCTAACATTCAATCTTCTAAAAATTAGAAATATAATATCCAACAAAAGATATAAAGTATAACATTCAATCTTTTATCACTTTTTGCTCTCTTATGACTACATTTGGTCATTTTATATTGAATAGTTTTGAATTACTGTGGGCATGTCTAAAAAAAAAGCACTTAATCAACAATTGGAGTAGAAAAATGGGTAAAGCCCATGAAGCCCATGCCTTGCGCCTCGAAAAAAAGCCCTCGCCTCAGCGCCTAAGCTGCGCCTTGCGTGTTGCGCCTCGCCTCAATCTGTTTGAAACGCAAGGCTGCGCCTCATTGCGCCTCGCGCTTAGGCGCGCGCGCCTTTTAAAACACTGCATACTACATTACTAAAAATTGTAAAAATAATATTTTTTACGAACGTATCCCCCGCCATACCCATATCCTAATTTTTCAAATTTTGCCGTATCGCCATATCCGTATCCCATATCCATATCCGTGTTTCCAAGGCCCTATCCAATCCTCAGAAAAGCGGCAAAGCTAGTAATTTCTGCCCTGTTGATGTTCTACATTTTGAACAGGTAGACAACTTGCCAGATCAGTGTTCAAATAACTTTCCATTGTATTAGTATAGTGTTAGTTCCTGGAGTTGCAAATGGATCTGCTGGTTCACCAATCATTGATGGTTCCAAAACTGCTAAACCTACGTCACATGCAGTTGTACCTACTAGTATACTATAATCTACTGGCATTTTGATTAGCTGGAATAGGGAATTCAAGTTAGTTTCAGAAATCATTTTGGTTCCATTTTTCAGGTCAGACGTACAATTTTTTATTTGTAACCTATATTACATTTCCCACAAATTTTTTTATAAAAAGTCATAACAAAATAGAGAAGTTCATATCATGAATATGCAAAACATCAATACCTGTAGGGGAGAAATAGTCCTCACTAGCAGATTCACTGTAATGTGGATCACCACTAATGTATGACTCTATCAGAGAAACCACTCCACTATTCATGCCTGCAGTTTCCAAAGCAAAAGTTACCATACAGAAGCTAGAGAACGCATCTAAAAACTAAAATTAAATTAATGATGGAAATAATCACCATTTAGTTCTGCCGATAACACATTAGACCCACAGTTGGAGGATGTACATCTAAGTTTTGTTTCTTTCTTAGCACCAGATTCAACTGGTAAAATCATTTTGGATTTCGGGGTATCAATTGAGGTATCATCTTTAGACGCAGTTGAGCCAGCAATATTGTCACAAAATTTTGCTACACTAGTATCACATCCTGTAACACCAACTGTAGCTGGACACGATATCATAGCAATCTGGTCACATGCTACTTCATGATTCTCACCTATTTCATGGCATGATGACACCCTGCTCAAATCTTTTGATGGGGGAGTGGTTGACCTTAAAATTTCTGATGGCAGATTATTGTTCCTTGTAGATTTTCTTTTGATAGGCACATTTGAATGTTCATAAAAACCTCTATCTACATTGTGCAGTCCACTGAAAGAACTATGGTCTGTATTCGCACCAGAAAACACTTTTGAATCCTTAGTAACCTCCTTTTCGCGCTTTATAGTACCTTTCTTGATGCTTGCTTTTGGTTTCTTATAGATCCCAAAATCAGCATAAGGGTTCAGAGACAAATCAGCAGCAGCTACTTTCACAGGATCTATGCAAGATGGAGGAACCAAATCTTGCACAACATCTGAGTAAAACTTTTTGACACTTACGCCAACCGTCTGCACCTGATTTTCAACATATTTAACTGTGTCCTGTCCAAAAAAAAAAAAAAATCAAAATTTGAATTATGATGAAAAGAATTGCCAACTTCATCGAGTGTATATAGTCAGAGATGCGACTAACTAACATATTAGTATAACTACATCCACATGATGAGAATGGGTATTACATGAAACACATTCACATCAGACAAAGAGACAGACATGTTCAAACAAAGGATCATATTTCACCAATGGTGGGGAAAAAGGAAACAGATGGTAAAGAAAGGGGGAAAGCAATAGGTTTACCTGATACATAACTTCTTCCACCTCCAAGCACATAGCTTCAAACTTTTGATATATATTTCCAACCCAAGCTATACCATTAAAATCCATAGTGATCATATGTTGATTCTGCTAGAAAATAGACCCAGTGATTTTATTGGATTCTGTCTCCAAGATGGCACTACTCTACTGCAGAAATTCAAATGAAAATCTATCAGGATTGCATAAATTAAGTTGGTTAGGTCAAACAAATTAAGTTAGACCTTGACCTAACCTAAATATGTCATCTAAGAAACATGGACACAGACACGGTCACCAACACCAACACAGGATACGACAAATTCCAAAAATCATAATACAGACACGACAAAGATATGACCAAGAAAAATATTTTTATATATGTTTATTTGCTATATACATGAATATTACAACCACAAACATCTAAAAATAATGAAAAACTAATAGCAATTCAACGTGAAAAAACAACTCAATCTATAAATTAAACTCTTATTCAATATAGGAAATACTATTTTACCAATCATAAACCACTACATCATAGTGGCTTGTCTTCATCAACATTATAAATTGTGGGTTTTAGCACGAGTAGAAGAAGACAAGTTTTTTCCTATAACAATTACAAGTAAAAATAAAAACAATTTCAACAATCAAACACTAATTCAGAAATTAAATGAGAGAATGTTACTTATTTGCATTGCTTAATAAATAAAGGAGGGAATTCTACTTAGTGATGATTAACATAGATATGAGACAACATGTTTACATAGTGGTGGTTATGAATTTATGATGACTCTTTTTATGGCTCATGGCAAGATAACTGTGTCTTCATACACTCTAGACATTGGACACGCGTGCCTGTCACATGTCCCCAAAATGTCCGAAAGAAGAAAAAATAGTTAAAAATGGGACATGCCACGTGGCTTGTCCAATACGTAACTCAACATGTCCAAAGCTTGTCGGCGTACGACAACTGTCAAACACAAGTGCAACTAAGTTGAAGTGTCCATACTTCATAGTACATCATGATAATTTTACTTTTAATTCCTTAGGAGCTTGAAAAATTATTTAACCCTGTTAAAAAGATGACTGTGGGGGCTAGCTTTCAGCTGCGCTGAGCGTATGTTTGGAGTTATACATGTCTACAAAGTGAACTACTTTAAATATTCTGACTTGTTTCACTATTACACTGTCTTCAATAGAATTCAAAAGGTTGAGTCTTACCCAATATCGTGTAACGGTATGTTTGTTTACAAAGTGAACTACTTTAGATATTCTGACTTGTTTCACTGTTACACAGTCTTCAGTAGAATTCAAGAGGTTGAGTCTTACCCAAGATCATAACATGGTATAAGAGTCGAAGTATCCAAGGATGGGTAAGGTGCATGTCCCTAGCCTACACACAGCAAATGCTGAGTAAGCACACTAGGGAGGGTGTAAAGAAAAGTACCACATCGCCTAATTACAAAAGTATTATGCCCCATATACGCGTGGTGGTACCCTCACCTCTTCAACTAACTTCTACCCACCACTATGTAACCATTAGGTACAATTTTTACTATTTTCTTCCATTTTTTTGGTGGTTGTTAGAGGCATCCACCAGTGGCACCATTATGATCAGAGGAAAGTTTTTGATCAGGGGAAAGTTTTCTTTTAACAACACAATATTTCCCTAAAGCATTCATTCATGTTCGGAAAACTTTTCCCTTATGTTAGGAATAACTCTGAAGGCTTTTCATATCCTACAAGTTATCTTTAACTTGCCCATAACAGTGAGGCTTCAAGAGGTCCTTTTTCCCCCAAAACTAAACTTCTCCAAAATTATCACGAAAAGTACACCAAAAACCATTAAGCAATTCACTGAATACAATATATAGAAAAATAAATTGCTCAAACCCAAATTGGGGTACCCAAAAAAAAAAAAAAAAAAAAGTCCTGTACTAGTAAACTGCAGGTCAAAAAAAAAAAAAAAAAATCAATTCAACACAAACAATCAAAGTCTCCAAAATCAATAAATTAGTTAACAGAGAAAAGACCAAATATAATATATAACTGAGAAACAACACAAAATCGTATACAGAGATAAATAGAAATAAAACAGAACAGTAAAAGAAAGTACTGTATAGGCACTTACGTAGGGTAGAAATCAATACCCAGAAGCCAAAACCTCTGAAATCAACAATTAGGAGTGAATTCCAGAACCAATTTTGGATTTGAAGGAGAATAGATAAAAGGAAGAACTATACCAAAGAAAGAGTTTTGAGAGAGAGAGAGAGAGAGAGAGTTTTTTGTGTTGAGTAGGAGAATCAAAAACGTAGAGACCGAGTTCACCTAGGTTTCTTTGAACCTGATTGTTCGACACGTGTTCAATAATACGATAAAATAAAAATAATATATAAGAAGTAATAATATTTTAATCATCCAAGTTAGTGATTGAAACATTTAATTATTTTATGTCACAATTATATTAATTAAATTTTGTGTTTTTCAATCTAAATGACATATGGTATGGTGAAGTTTGATTATATTACGGCTAGAAATAGCGATACTTATGATATGTACTTCTTTTACATATTATTATATTTTTAGAGCATATTTAATGGTAATAGGTATTTTATCTATTTAAACATTACTATGAAATATATTTTTTATTTTACCTATTAATTGTTTCATGTTTTTACTTCAATTATGTTCTTTATTTTAATTATTCATCTAAATATTATTAACTTTATAGAATGTCACATTAGTAACAAAGATGTAGGAAAACAATCTTAATAATTAAATATATTTTGCTTAGTTTTGAAGACTAGCTATATGTAGCTGGTGAATGTGAGTTGAGATAAAATGTCTAATCATATGCCTAGTGTATTGGAGTTGAAAAAAGTAAGTTTTACTATGCATTTTGACTAACAAATATTATGTACCTAGTATGTTGGTGATGCTCTTACATTCTAATTAACATGATATTTCATATGATTTTTTTTTTTTGAGAAATTTAATAATATGTTTTTATTTTTATAGTTATAAAAATATAGCTATATAATTCATTATGAATGAAAAAATAAATAAAATAAGAAATTAGCATCTTTATTAAAAGAAAGGGATGTTCATTTATTAATTCTAACTGATAAGATCTCAACTATTTGATATAAAATTATACTTTTAATTGAAGACAAATCATTCCCAACAAGATAATAGTGATACACAAGATATAAATAAAATCATAATAACCATTTAAAAAGAATTTTGGACTTTTAAGCTTATTTCACAAAAGCAAGGCCAATAAAAGTAGAAAAGTGCACGTTAAAAATGGGGATTTTTCTGAAGGTTCATGGTATTAAGATTTTATAACATAAAGGACATCAAATATTTTTATAATGTCTAAGGTCCTTCAATATCGATCTAGAGAAAATTCGACCTAGAAAATTTCTCTGGCCTTCTCAGAGAAATTCTCTCTAGAGAAATTCTGAAAATTTCTCTGAACCTCCCAGAGATTTTTCACTCCAGAGAAATTCTAATTTCTCTGTACTTCCCAGAGAATTTCTCTAGACCTCCCATAGATTTTCTCTCTAGAGAAATTCTGAAAATTTCTTTGGACCTTCTAGAGATTTTCTCTCTAAAGAAATTCTTTCCTGCACTTCCCAGAGAATTTTTCTGGACCTCCCATAGATCTTCTCTCTATAGAATTTCTCTGGACTTTCCAAATAATTTCTCTGTGTTTTTGACCATTTTTCTTTGGTTTGCACATAATTTCTGTGTTTTTTATCAAACCAGACTGTAAGCCATTTAGACAACAACAAACCAAAGAAAATTGAACAACCACCGTTTTGACCAATTTTCTCTGAGTACCAAAGAAATCCAAAGAAAATTGTGTAGAGAACATTTGTGTGGCTCTATCTAGAGAAATTTGTGTTAAGAGACAATTTGTGTGGCTTTGTATGACTCTATCCAGAGAAAATTATGTAGAGAAAATTTGTGTGGCTTTGTATGGCTCTATCTAGGGAAAATTGTGTTAGAGAAAATTTGCGTGGCTTTATCCAGAGAAAATTGTGTAGAAAATTTGTGTGACTTTGTGCGGCTCTATCCAAAGAAAATTGTGTTAGAGAAAATTATGTAGAGAAAATCTGTGTGGCTCTCTCTAAAAAAAATTGTGTTAGAGAAAATTTGTGTGGTTTTGTATGACAACAGCAACCTAGAGAAAATTGAACAACCACCATTTTCATTTTAACCAATTTTCTCTGGATTGTAAGACATTCAGACAACAGCAATCTAGAGAAAATTGAACAACCACTATTTTCATTTTGACCAATTTTTTTTTGGACTGTAAGGGATTCAAACAATAACAAACCCAAGAAAATTGAACAACCACCTTTTTCAATTTGACCAATTTTCTCTGGACTATAAGAGATTCAAACAACAGCAAACCCAAGAAAATTGAACAACCATCATTTTCATTTTGACCAATTATCTCTAGACTGTAAGACATTCAGATGACAACAAACCAGAGAAAATTGAACAAACACCCATATAAAGATAATTCGATGGTTATCATACATGTTTATGCATATAAGAGACTGATGAAAGCATAATTCAATAGATATCATACATGTTTATGTGATAGAGGGAATTGATGATGGTAAAAATGGAGTTAAACCCATATAAAGATATAACTAATAAGAGACAAGACCACAGACATTAGAGAGGCTTTAGTTCAAATAGGTACTCAATTCAAGTACCAAATGCTGATAATTTCATGTCTATTAAGTGACCAGAAATGCAATAAAAAAGGAAATAACAAAGAGAACAATGGTAATGCCATCTTGATCACTGAAAACAACTTCGTTGGAGCACAAAACAGAATGAACTCGAACTAGAAAACCTAACAGCACAAACCTATGAAATGGACACAACTCAAGAAAACCTCATCAAGAACGAGACCACAAGACCAGCTTTTCCCAAGCTAGTTGGACCACTTTGTGGCGGTCTTTGGTGGTTCTGTCCGGGACACATTCTGTTGCGTCAACGTCATTTTCCAGCATTGGGAGACAGAGATTTGTGCCGATCTACATTGGTGGCAACTCCGATGGCGATGAAATCGACTCCGACGACGATGGTATTTGTGGTGGTGGTGGTGGCAGTGGCCATTGAAGGGAGTGAAGTGAGGTTTGGATTCAGAGAGAGAGAGACATGAAATAGAGAAGGTAGAGAGCGAGAAATGAGGTTTGATGTAAAAGAGTCAAATTTCTCTGTGATATATGGGTATGGGGTGAAGGGACCTTAGACATCATAAAATAATATTGTTGATCTCTTCCATTACTAAAAATGGGAGAGGGACCTTAAACTAATTTTCTCTTAAAAAATGTTACAAACCCTGAAAATATTTTCATTCCTCTATTCTCCATTTTTACTATTTTTGAAAATAGATAGAGTCAATTACACTTGCTCTCCTTGGAATTTAAATAATAATAATAATAATAATGATGATGATGATACTAACCTCACTCAAAATTCATGTAACGCTTGAGTGATTTTTCATTATTAACTCATTATGGAAAAAAATAAAGATTGGGCTTCTCTCATGTTCGGATATCAACATCAGAGAATTTGAGGAATTCATAAAAGTCATCATAAGTTCCATTTTGATAATCTGAACTATTCACTTTTTAGGACTTGAGAGGGTGATTTATGATCAGGAGTTGGGCCGAGGTAACGGCCGAGCAGATTGAGAGCCCAACGGTGCATGGGGCCGAGATGACTGGCCATCCGCCGGGAAGTGGGCTGCCAGAACTTGAGTCGGGAAGAACTTGGGCCAAGTGTGAGTCACCCCGGCCCAAGATGGAGCTCGGCTAAATAGCGCCTGGTTGGACCAGGCTGCCTGATCAGGGGATGGCTGAAGCCAGATAAGCTGAGTGACCGGCGCCCGGAAAGGCGTGGTCGACCGAGGAGACTGTTTGACCGGCAGAAAGGCCGACCAAAGGAGGTGCCCCGGCTAGGCACTGCCGGGATGCCGCCTAGCCCGGTCCTCCATGTGTTTATCCGGTTAGGCGCTTGGGTATGAAGCATGGCATGGCCGTGGTAGAGCAGCTCGGCTGCCGAGCTCCAACTGTGAAGTCAGGCAGTTGAGATTAGCTGTTGATCGGCAAAGTTTACGCTGACAGATGGGATAGCAGAGCCACGTGTCAAGAGATGACTGGGAGTGGATATGGGGCTCAGAAGGTATATAAGCATGTCTGCGCCCCCCATACGCGACACGAACATCTCTGTAAGGAATTCTTACACTCAAACGCTCTCTCCCTTCTCTCTATCCATCCTAAGGTGTGTGCTAACTTGACCGTCGGAGGGTTTTTCCGGCCACACACCGCCGGGTAGCTCACCGTTACTTGCTCGCAGGTGATCGGACATAAACGGAGCTCGGAAGAAAGGAGTTACGGCTTGCCGGAATAATTTGGCTCCCCGTACAATTGGCGTCGTCTTGGGAAGCTTGACAGACAAAACCTTGTCTTCTAGGTTTCTTGATCGGTCCATGGCGAACAACGACGAGATTTCCGTTGTCCCCATCGATGGAGCAACCCGAGAGTATACCCGAAGGAGAGAGGGACCTCCTGCCTGTCCACCCAATGGCTGACTTGGGAACGCCCACTGGCGGACAGTCTGGAGACGCGCGGACAAGCGCGGACGAAGTCACGGACATTCACGGAGTCCAGACGGTCACACGGCGGGAGGAGAGACTCGCACGCCAGGCGACTGAAAGCAAGTTGAGGATCAAGATGCTGTCATCCGCGAATGGCGGCGGAGATGGAAGATCTCAAGCGGCATGTCAAAGGGAAGGTGTAGTTGGAGTGGGAGACCACAGTGAGCGCACCCCGTCCCGCCGTTCAGGTGGTCAGATCAGCGATCTTACTCAGTCCATATCTATTACCAGAAGTTACCAGGTTGGTGATTCCGACGTGGGTGCAGAGAAGTCTAGCGCGCAAGACAGCACCTACAAGCCCTCACGCCCAGAGACGACGTCGAGGTACTCTTACTCTGCTCAGTCAGAGGATTTACGGGCGGTCTTAAAGGAGCGGGCCCGCCGGCGCGAAGCACAGAGAACACCGGTGCTCCAGCGGTTATCTTATGGGGTACACGCCAGTGAGGAGGTCGGAATGCCTCCACCCCGCCAAGCAGTGCCGCTCTTTGAGGATACGGACTTGGCCAGGCTGAGCGCCACCCCATTTTCCCTAGATATAGAAACAACACCGCTTCCGGCAGGCTTCCACCAGCCTAAGTTCACACTTTACGATG